CCGCGGCCCACCCATCCAGCCACCGCGGCCCACCTTTTTCTGAGGAGAGAACCCCAAACCGTACCTGTTTGGGGAATAAAAACCATAATCCTACTCCTACTGCTGCTGCTGCTACTGCTGCTGCTACTGCCATTGCTCTCAAAAGCTCGGCATGTGTAGTCGCACCTGACGATACACATACCGAGCTGGCGAGGGTTGCGTTTGTATGACTCGTGGCAGCAGATTGCTGAACTGCTTGTGTTGCAGTAGACTCGATCTCGGGTTTCTTGAAACAACCGGAGAGTGTTTTGAGTCCTTACTATCTCAGGGGCGGCTAAAGCTTGTACCGGAACTGCAGACATGCGGCAAAGGCAAAACAACATCCACTATAAGCTTTCAAGCAGTGGTAGCTGGGCCGCTTTGCAAAACCCATGCTATGCTGAGATCCTTCCGGACAAATTGCTTCTGGAACTCCGAGCAGACCCGCCTGCCCACCCTGCCAGTGCGATATCGTAAGCTTTCGACTCATCACTCCTGTTGACACTTGTGCCTGGTGCAGGTGACAAGGGCGGCGTGGGCGGATTGCGTGGAGTGCTGGCATTGGAGCCTGCAATGCCCACACAGCTATGACTCCACATCTTGACAACATGCACCCGCATCATTATTCGCCTCGACCCCGGCCGAAGCAGTCAGAGATTGCCCCTTTCCCCCCCAAAAACCTTTTCCCTCAGTTTATCCCCTTCCCCGTGACAAGTGGCTGCGCACACCCCCTGCAAAACTTGATTTTGGCTTCAAGCCAGACAGTGGGCTTGCTGGTGGGAGCACCCAGATTTGCTCAACAACCGAAAACTTGTCTTCAACCCCCTGCCTTCTCTGCCCCTGCCGACATTCGTCTTGCGCACTCTCAACCTGCTGATCGGGCCCTGATGTGGAGACTAATCGTCGCCGGGCAGAGGCGGAAGACACGAAGCGTTTACAATATGATCGTCACAACGCAGGCCTGCCCGGGAGTTGCGAGCAGAAGCTGCGGGAGAAACACCCTGCGGCGTTAGCGCCTGCTTGTGAAAATTGTGCTAACCGCCGTGACGATGAATCTACAGCGGCAAGTTTCCTGCAAGGGGCCTCCTTCCAGGCAAATGGATCCTTGATGCTGGATCCAGCCTTCCACAGAAAAGGACACTGTGTGCAGCAAGATCGCAGCCGAAGATCGTAGCCACTAGCAGCAGACGAGGCCCCGCAGGGCGGCCCGGCCTGGGGCAGTGGGCCCACGCCCGGCCCGCCATACATCGGCGCTGGGCACTCGGACGACCGGCCCAAGGACAAAGACGGATAGAACATAGAACTTGGGACGGGCGTCTACGTGGGACGGACGGTCGTACGGTACAGTCTGCTTCGAGGCTCAGATCGCAAATGCAGCTAGGAGTCGCGCTCTTCCTACTTCGAAAGCAAATGCAGCTGCCTTCCAAATCGGCCCCCGAACTTCCAAATGAGCCGCGCATGCTATGTCGCAAACATGCTAACCTGGCTGTCGAAGATCAACGCAGGGAGGTCAGACTGTCTTCGATTGCACGCGCTGCTGTGGCCGTAGCTGCGCAGCACAGACTTTCCGTCTCCAACAGACTGCATCGTGCATGCCAGGCTCCCTGGCGGTACTTGCGGATTGACGGCTGAACTCCCGCTTCAGCCGGAATCTACAGCAGCAAATTAGAAGTGCTGTGCACTGCTGTGCACTGGTCGAGAATCATCTCAGTCTCACAGCCGGCAGCACGAATGCCTCAATGCACAGATGGCAGACTACAATGCGAATCAAATACAGGAACAGGCAGGATCAACCAAGCCCGACACGTCAATATGGATCTTTCAGTCGATGTCTTCGATGATATCTCAGAAGGGACGCGTCATATACGTACTAAAGCAATTTCTGATGTATGCTCGCGTGACCAGCTAAACTCCGAAATGATGCCCTCCTCCCCTGCATCAGCCTGCACCAGACCACGACAGTCCAGCTTCTAGTTTTCTACGCCTTCGGCATCTTGCACTGATGCTTTGGACCCCCGCAGTCTCCCCGACTGCGGGTTTCATGCGATTTGCATCTTTACAGCGACCTGCTTTAGAGTGTTCTCGTGTGCTCTCGGTGCTGGCGTCGGGAGCATTGAACAGGTGGGCTGGCCGATGTTGCGAAGAACTCTGACAATCCGACGACAACCGCGAGGTTGAAAAAGATCAGAAAACTGAAGCATACTGAACCGAGACAGGAATAAGTGATTTGCACATCATAAGAGCCTGCCCACACCTGGCTCACATAAAAAGCCTGAATGGCTTAGGCATCAAGCTTCGTGGAAGGCTCACAGACAGCATCAGCTGGTGTGTGCCTGTGTGGATTTCCTTGGTGGCGCCTGGCCGAGGTAGCAGTCTTTCTCTGCTACTGGTAGTTTTTACCTCTCAGCGGATGACAGGCTTGGCCCTTGCGAGCCCCGAGCGAGCCCGACTCCACGAATGTTCGATCGCAGGGACAGGAAGAGCCGAGCATGCAGACACAAAAATCATCTGTTTTTCAGGTGAAGCAGTGATGTTTTGGGGTATCTTTAAGCGTTGTACCGATGTACGCGGGGCGGTCGGGCGCAATATGGCGCAATCGAGCCTCGCTGAGAAGGTCGGGAGGCCGGAGAGCCCACACTCGAAGACTGCTGCAGATGTCAGACGAACCCAAAAATGTCATTCGGAAGCCACGTGCCTGTTTCGGTTCACTCGTTAAAGCTCCCTCGAAAGAACAGACATCGAAGATGAGAGCAAACTAGGCTCCTGCAGTGATTGGTTCTCTCCGCCGCCAAAGCCTTGGCCTTGTCAGGCATTCGCGGACTCTCTTTCTGGCCACCCTATGTAGATGACCGAGACTGCTTTTTCGGAGGCATAACAAAAGAACACCGATACCACCACAAGCAGGCTAAGCCACGTCGTCAGGCACGATTCTTAAATAAGCAGGCAGCATCAGCGGTATCGCACTGATCGGTGTATCAAGAGACGCTGAACTGGCAATTGTCGCGCTGCCCGGACATTTGCTTGAAATAGTCTAAGCATTCCGGGCGCGAGGCGAAGGGCTGGACCGTATGCTGCTTCCAGCTTAGTGTTGGCAGTCGCACGCTGCAGGCAGCACTTGTCTTGCCCATTCTGCAAACCCCCGCTAATTCGATCCTCTACTTTATCATTGCAGCCACTGGATCGGGTGCAGGAGAACAAACCAAAGCTGCAGACCCCGCCTGCACTCTCCAGCGGCCCTGCAAGTCCGCATCGCTGACGCTTGGTTCGACAGCCTCGATCGACATGCCAGCCAGTCCCAAGACTACGTCGATGGCAGCTGCAGCCGCCTTCCGTGCCCCGCGGTATTGCAGACAAGCCTCTGTGGAAGCCAATGAAACATAATGAAACACCAAGGAAGGTACTCTTTGCAAGGCCCAAGGCGGCGCCTGCTGCCACTACACCAAGCTTCTCAATCTCGTGCCGCAGCCTTCACTTTGACCCTCCATGTGATGCTCTCCTTCACTTAGTTCTGCACCTCGACCGTTCCTTCGCTGCAGAGGTGTAGATGGCCTGCCAGTCCTCTGCAAGTCGCGCGGTGTTTTCGACGGAAGCTTGAAACAGCGAGGCCCCTGTAGTTCCTGAGACTCTCGATCCGAACACGTGGAGCAGAAGGATGCAAGGCCTTCCAGCACAGGCCAAGAGACCATCATCCCTGAAAAGCCGCAGGAGGAAGGCGCGGACGTGCTCTCTGCACGAGAAGACCCTGAAGGAGCCCTGGCGCACAATCCATGCACAACTATGCAAGATTTCAGCAATACAGCCTTCTCGATGAAGCTTTCGACTCGACTTCGACCTGTCGACTCTGCCGCGTCTGAGCAGGCACTCAGTCATCCTAGTCTCAGGCCTATTCCAACAGCCACAAAGCTCGGCAAATCGGTTCAAAACCCAGGCCACCTGACAGAGCAGAATAGAACGAGCAGCGGCAGATCGGCAGGCCCACCCAAGTGCCCCAAAATGCCCGCCGTCCTCTGATGCCATGCCCACTCGCCGAGGCTCTGGAGCAAAGGCGAAGTTGCCACCCTCAGCGGCTTTTGCATTAAATGGTCGCCCGAACCATCGTATCGCCCTTTCAGATCCTGTCCGATGGCTCAGTTCCAGCAAGGGCAGCAAGAAGTGCCTGCAAAAGGCCAACACGACGAGAAAATCTGCATCGGGGCACCAGAACTTACACCCCAGCATTTTCTCCCTCGGCTCCTGCGAAAGTGCGCATAGTATTGTCGGATCCCCATCCACTCCAAGGGCTGCTCTTTCCTGCGTGTTCAACAACCTCCTTGTGGCCACCGCGAGAAGACACGAGGCTTAGGAAAAGACCAAGCAGAGTAGGGCCAATGGACGCCAAAGGCAATGAAGCCACCACTCCCTCGGAGCATCGAAACAGCACGTGGCTGCTTGTGAAACATATTGCTGGTGAACCGAGCCAGAAGCGTTGCTGCATCAACGCCTTGAGCAAAGACACCCACACGACCCACACATGACTGCAGGAACCCTGCGGGAACCTGCCTTCCACGCTGGAGAGCTCCCGGCTCACGAATCTGACAGCACCTTGGGAACAGTGGCCAGTCGCACAAGACTGAACCACAAGACTCCTATGTCCTGGGAACCGCCACTGCAAGGTTGGTAGGCTGCAGAGGCAGCGGCGTGACAACATCATAGAAGGCATGGAATGAGCAGCCTGACAGAGATGCATTCATGGCATGCAGCACGGCAAGACATCTTGACCAATGTGTCAGTTGAGGCTTCGGCTGCTGGTTGTGGTAGTTGCCACATGTCAAAGAACAAGAAGCCTTTTGCAGCAATGGCCAGCACCTCATGTCAAGATGAGACCAGATGCAAAGACAAGCCAGGTACTGAAACAGTATCTAGACTCAGCACATGTGTGCTTGAGGACGCAGGCATCTCGGGTTCTAGACCAGAAGCAGCAGCCCCAACCGGAGTTGTGACAAAAGCCGTATTGTAACAGCAAAGACATGATGAGATCCATGCTCTCGTGACAAGTGATTGCAACCTTTTGGTCGATTTGATCTAAAGCCATTTCAGATTTTCCGCACCGGAATCCAGCAACTGTTCCAGCAGCACACATGAACTAACTCCCGTCACCCCGGAGTTCTGATGCTTGCCGTGCCCTCAGATGAGCGGCCTCCAAGCGGCAGGAGGAAAGTCGCCGCAAAGATGCGAAGAATCTTAGCAGCCGTCCGCTCAACACAGCCGCCTCAAATGTGTCACAGCTGCTATGAGCACTGCTGCGCCTTCATCTTGCAAGACAAATGCTGAGAGCTCCACCTCCAAACTACGGCAAGGTTCGACGAGACCGGCTTCTGCAAATGCGTTCTGCAGCAACCAGGCAGCCACCCAGCAATGCGCTGTCGACTCGGTTTGAATGCCTGCAGCGACATCAATCACATCTCAATCACCTCTTGTAAAGTCTGCTCCGAGCCTCGAAAAAGGAGAAAGGTACAGAAACGCGAAGCGAGTGCTTCGCGCAGGGAGTGGCTTCCACGCTGGCCTCAGCGTCTTAGGGTCCCTTGCAGCAGCTCTAACAGCCAAGGTAGTCCCTTCTGCCGGGCCTCCCAGGCCTGCTAGAAGTGGGGCTATGTGCTCACATATCTCGTCGGAATTGTCCTCTACAAGCCAAAGCTTCGACTTCAAACAAATGATGCTCGCTTCGAGTCTACGTCTGCTGAGTCTGCTTTGGCCAGACGGTGTCCTGGAGGTGAGCGCCGAGGTTGCCGGTCTCGGGATCACACGAGTCCCAGGTTTCCAGGTCATGAAGGAACAGGGTATCGATGAGAAAGGACACAGAAGTCAGGATTATGTCTTCCGCTGCTGCAGTGGCATCAAGGTGAGGATGCGCGGATGACAGAACTTCGGGGACGTAACGCCCGAGCACCGAGTGAAAAAAACATCGGTGCTGCACAGCCGTTTCCAGAGAGATCGATGCATGCAGAGCAATGCACCGGATAGCTTGGGCACGCAACGTCGGCCAGGAGGTTGAACCAATACCAGACCGGATGGAGTCGACTAGCATCAGGGCCTGGCGAAGGACATCTAAAGGAAAATCATCCTCGAGATCGGCCTCTCTGTAAGAGAGAAAAGCCTCACAAACACAGAGAATACGTGCAAGGTGTGATCCCAGTGCAGCAAAGGCATCCTCTGCTTTGCACTCTGCTTCCTCTCGCTGCTTCTGCAAGTGTTCCATTTCCTGCCTCAGCGGATAAGCAGCCACGAAGTTTCTTTCGCCGGCGAGCTGCTGACATCTGGCGCGAAGTTCTTGAATTCTTTCCTGCAAACTGCAGACCGCTGCCCCATATGCTGCGATATCCTTGGTGATTTCGGACAAACCCCAGTCTTCGTTGTGGAGTTCTGCTGACGGAAAACTGGCTTTGGCTCTCGCCACAAGCACGCGAAGCACCGTCTGAATGGACTCTGACAAAGCTGACTCCACTTCATTGTTCCTTCGCTGGCGTGTCCTCCCTTCCGAAGCTGAAGATTGCAGAGACTGTCGGGCCAGCAGAACGGCTAATCGAAAAGGATCTGACGCCGCGTTCAGCACGCATTCTTCAGCAAAAGCACTTCCACGAGACTGTCTTGCAGAAGCCTTCCCAAGCGGACAGCGCAACAGTGTCGCTGTTGCGATCTGCAACAAAGTTTTTGCTGCCACCTCATCGCAGATAGTTGCATTGAGAAGCACCATAAGAAGCTGACGCAGTGCGGAAGTGTTGCCAGAGTCCAGGGCCTCCAACGTCTTCCGAAGCAGCAGAGAGCCCTTAAGAGCGTCAGTAAGGTTCCAAACGCCGGGATCCATCGAGATAGCAACACGGCCGAGCATGATCTGGGCTTTGTCCAGAGTCTCACCATGCAAGAGAAGCCGAACAGCCTGTTCCCCAACATACACGAAATCCCCACTGTCCAGGCTGTCCCTCTCCAGGAGCCTCTGCAAGATGGCCTCAACCAGCGTTTCAGTCTGCTCGTTCTGACAAGGAAGGACGACAAAAAAGTGCTCGATTAGCTTCAGCACACGAGATGTCGCACCATGATCGCCATGATCCTTGTTCTCCCCCCCATCTACAGGTGCAAGCCAGGACCGCAGCATGGACTCACATTCTCGCCGCACGTTTGCATCTGTATCCACCAAACCTTGCCTGAGTAAGCCACAAAGCCTTGGAGAAGAAAATGGACACGTCATGCCAAAAAGACTGAATAAATTGCATCGAACTCGTGGAGAGATGTCCATGGATCGCTCCATCAGCATCTCCATTAGGTGCGGTTCCAGGGCCAATGCATGGTTTGCCTAATTACCAGGGACAGGCTAGCACGCGGTCAAGCACAGAGATGCTCGAAGCAAGAATCTCCAGAAGTGACAGAAATGGAACTACCGGCCTTCAGGAAGCTGAGAGCTTTCAGTGCCTCGAAACGTACCTTGCACACCAGGTCACTACACGTCATCTCAACCAATGCAGCAATCGCTGCTCGTGTTCCCAGCGATGCCAGGCACGGGATCGCGGAGCCTCTCACAGCGACTACTTTGTCAGCAGCCAGCTGAAGAAAGCAAGCCTCTAGACGTTTGCCATGACTTGCAGGTGCGATCTCCAGCATATTCTGGAGCAGCAAAGCGCACCATTGTCTTACAAGCTTTGCTCTGGGAGCACCGTCTTCAAACATGCCCAGCAGCACATTCATGGGAGCCAAGCACCTTGTTTGTACTGCTGCCTCTGCTAGCAGGTCAAGAACGGCTTGAGCTCCAACTGGCTGACTTCCCGCCAACTCCATCTTCCTCAGAACTGCCAGCACAGCTGTCCTTCACACAAGTTTAATGTGGCGGCGCTTGGATATGCTGAAACAACCTCTTGGATTTATGACTGCATGACTCCCTGGTGCCATCTCGTGTCCTAAGCGTGTCATCAAGCTGATTGGGATAGTAGTCGGCGACAGCCTTTACCCCAAGCCACTTCTCTCAACTGCAACACATGCACGCCCACAGAGCCCGAGCCGGGTGCCAGAAGACGCGCGAGCGCATCACGTTGTGCGGACTTCTCCGGCGTTGAGCCCTCCGCGACGATCTCCAAGATATGTGCCACATGCGGCCACAGGCTTCGAGCTTCTTGCAGACCTCCAGAAGGTAGAACAGGAATCAACACAGTCCATGCATGAAACCTCAATCGCCCTCAAAACTCTCGGTCTCAGCTGGACCTTCAGAACGCTGCATCTTTGCGAGCTGGTGTCTGGCTACTCACTACCCAGCTTCCGTGAGCCATTCGTGCGGCAAAGGCCTGCAAGCACGTACCGTCCACTTCATGCAAGCTTGGACTTATGCTGCAACATCTGTACTCCTTTCGTTAAAATACTCACGGGCGCTAGTCCGTTGCGTCCTATGCTGTTCAGCCTACAGCCCGAACCCGAACTGCCAAAGGCCATCCATTCTGCCAAGAGTACAAAAAATGTGTACAGAAGCTACGCCCATACTTTTTCTTTGATCTCTGGATCGGTGAAGGCTCCGAGGCGAAGCTGAACACCAAGCTGTTCGCATGCATTGGCTGCCAGTGCATGAACTCGTCGTCTTGGCAAATTGTAGAGGGTCAGCTCTTCATAAAGCTGCACGACCCATGCCCACTCAGATGCATCACTGCAGCACTTTAGCGCCATGTCATAGCTGTCGCCATCGGGTGCCAGGTCCTCGTTACAGATCTCACTCAACAGGTCCAAGACTTCTTGCCAATGTCCTGCTCTCGCGCAGTAGGCCTTCATCAGCTGATTGTATGCATCCAGCGAGACAGACAATTGATGACGCTTCGCTTCGAGATGTGCCTGAACCGCAAATCTCCATTGACGGCTTCGACAGAAGGCAGACCTTTGAGCTGGAAACACTTCTGGCAGCTTTGCAGCTTCAGACAGGTCGGCTGGCTGCAATGATGTCTCCAGCAGTTCTAGTGACATTGCCCAATTTCCCTCCATGGACTCGCAAAGAGACGCTGCAGCAATGTGCGCCCGCGACAAGCGCGTGAGTCCACGAGCTCGCATCCGCAAGACATGGCCCAAAGCTCTAGGCCAGTCGAGTTCACATGCCACCAGAGCCGCACAGGTGCCGTCGTATGGCCGGATTCGCCCTGCCTGCATTTGACCGAGCAGCTGGATGGCCAATTCTCGCCGTTGAGCCTCTGCTGACCACTCTTGTTTCTTGGAGCAAGCCCAGATCGCCGCAGTGAATGCTGCTGCCCGGGCTTCCAGGCCATTGGCCTGCATTACATCCAGCAGATGAAGTGCTCGTTGCCACTCAGGACCGTTGCCACAGGAGGCAATGGCTTCCGAAAACGTCTTTTCATCCAAACGCGCTCGCAGCTTCAGGTCCTTGAGCCATTCTACCTCAGGAAGAAGATCCCAGCTACCTGTTGCCTGGTTCGCCTTCCATTTCTTATGCGATTCACTAATGCCCGGCAGTAAATCCTGATTGTCTTCGGTACAACAGCTTTGCTGTGTGTTCAGTCGAAAACCGGGCAACAACACCAACCCATTCATGAGAGTTTGCAAACCTTGTATCACTAGTGCCATGGGTGGCTACAGTGAAATCACATGGAACAACCAGGATCTGCAAGTGGCACCAACATCTCCGTGGTCCCGAAGCCGCCAGGTGGAAGCTGGATCAGCGCTCCGCCTCCACGACGTACAGCGATTTGCTGCGTCCAGTGCCAGGAGTTGCGGTTGCACTTCGCCTCCATGCGTAACCTTCACGGCATTACCGTGTGGATGCCCGGGCCATTGCAAGGCTAGCGCGGGATGCTCCAAGAGCATCCAGCCATTCCATATGCTTCAAACGAGACGGTGCTTCGATTTAATGTAAAGGCACTCTGCTGTTCTGCTACTTTCTGTTCTTTGCCCGGCGGACATGAAGCTACAGCTGCACATGTCTCTCTACCACAACATGACCATTGAGCCGAACGAAGCATCACCCTTCTGCACTGTGTGCTGAGATAGACTTAACTGCACATGTTGCTCAGTGCCTGTTGGCCGGATTACTTAAACCGGTCTCCCAGTGAATTGCCACAGGCGTTAAACCTGGCTTACATGAACTACAGAAACTGACATGTTCGTCAGCTTCCATCCCTGCGGATTCTGGCCAGTTCAGGTGTGGCGGTCCCGTGCTTGCGCCAGCGGTGAACGGTGCGAAAGGAATCTGCTTCCTTCACGCAAAGCGACAGTCCAAATGTGCTAGGCTGTGATTGCAGCAAAATGACAACTGATTCACCTTACGAACGGCTTTGTAGAGCTCGAGACACATCTGCTACAGGTGCGACGTGATGCTGCATGATTGTTCATGCTCATCTCCGACTCTGTGTGAGTATGTAGAAATTTTCACGACCAAACCTTCTTATGTACGTATCTTTATGGTGCTGCCGTCCTGTAGACATATAGCTTCTATGCTTGAACCTATGAATTCTACGCGTCTATGAATATGCAGCGGCTACGCGCCATGAAGGCAGGTTAATGCGCAGGCTCTGGAGCTTTTGTTGCACCCTGTCTCTCGCCTCTGGAACACTTGTGATTGGACAGCTGCTGACGCTCACCCGTTCTGCAAGAGTGAAACATCCATCGTGAGGACGCGGCACAACGAACTGAAGTACTCGCGTGCAAACTGATAGAAAACCTGAGCAGTTGCGACAGGCTCGAAATGATGAAAGATCATAGTGCTGCAATGGACTGGAAGTTAGGCACAGCACACCCACATCCATTGGACCATCCCAAAGCTCATCGGCCTCCAGAGGAAAGAAAAGACTGCTCAGCAAGAGAACGCGTGTCGGATGACCTGCCTCTTCCCTGTCCACGGAGTCAATTCCGCAGTGCCGGCATATGTGGTTCCTGCAATGCATCAACAAAAAGCTCGATAGAGGACTCGTTACAAGACTTTCTGAGCTGCATGCAAAGCTATCTGCAGCATCTCCACCTGGGGCTGAGTTCAGAGGTGAAGTGAATTGAAGTGATCACGAGCAACGGGCACAGGGTGGCACATGGTGGCACAGGGCCGCGACGCTGGTCAGCTGGGATGACGAGGCTCCCGACCTCAGAGTCGGTCGGATATGCGTTGCGACACCGCGCCGCTCCCAAGCTACAGGCTGGGTAGCAATCCGAACTGCATGTTGGCAGACCTCTCAACCAGGGCTGCAAGTCTAACTACGCAATTTGCACTGGCAGTTCTAATCACGGGGTAGCCGGGTAGCCTCGAAGAGAGCACCATTGTCACACAAAAGTGCCTCCCAAGCGCAGGGATCACACTCTTGCTCCCTCATTCCCACCATCACTAGCAAGGTCGCGGCGCCTGAAGCTTGCAGGCATCCACAACATCATCTCCCTCTTCATCTCCAGGTGTTTTTGCAACGTCGTAATGCACGTGTGGCTGCACAGGCGCAGCTTCCACCGGAGACGAGAACGCACCCCATCCTTGCAGGGTACCTGCATCTGGGTTCACTTGCCATGTCCGGTCTCCCGGCTCCTCGGACTGACCGCCAGCCATGCTGACACTAGTTGGGAAGGACTCGCATGAATGCGCTGGCAAGTCTTTTTTTGGCACCACAGATGTTGCTAAGGCTGCTGACTGAGGTAGGTATGATGTTTGAAAGCTGGGCTGCATCGAAATGGATGGATGTCCGAAAGCTTGAAGACAAGCGATCAGATATCTCGGGGCTTGCTCAGTCAGAATGCAAGAGGAAGAAATGCGGGAGGGCACCCTCGAGCGGTTTTTGTCACCCCGCAATGCTCAGAACCTGTTCAATCTTTGTGAACTTGAGAAAGGTCCTCATCGTCAACGTGGGAAGAGAAGCCGAACCACGGACAACCAAAATTTATCGGCCTCCCGGATTGCAAGGGCTTCCAACCGCAGTAGCACTGGATCAAAGATGTGTCGATGAAAGTCGTTGAAGAACCTTGCGTCTCTGTTGCTGAAGGCTGCATGCGCATGTTCCCAGACTTAATCCGGGTCTGCGGACTTGTCCAATGCACCACACAGTTGCTCTGACTCCTCGCAAACATACACGGTTGGGCCTTGCTGGCAGACCCAACAGAAAGCCCCAGGCACATTCCCACTTCCTCGACTTGCTTTCCAGCCGCCTGACCTTGTGCATCTGCCGGGCAGTTTGGCCTCATGAACATACCAGGCGCTTTCTAAGCCTTGCGACTCAGTATGCAGATTTGGAGCCGCACTGGATACTGTTCTTGTCGAAACCATCGCCTGTGCCTGTTTCCAACTGCCATGTCAATTTGTTGACTCCGAGGAGCCCTCCTTCTACTGCAACTTGGGCAGCATGTGCAGACCTTGGCCACGCTTCCAAGTCAAATTCCGCATGGTGCGACGAAACTAGACTATGGAGGAGGTCAGATGGCGAGACCAGGATTTACAGCACCAGTGAATCCTTTCAAGGCCCTGACGGTTCAGAGGACGGGATCCGGTCGACCATTCCGAGCTAGTCACAGCTGCCCACCGTTCTCGAACCAACCATGTATTCTCAAGAGGCCCAATAGGCCAGCGTTGAATGATATCTCAGTTGTGTCTCTTCTGTGCTTGATGGCCGGAAGCTGCACGTCAAGCAAGATGGAGGATGATAAACAGATTCTGAAACGCACGCGCGACATCTGCAAATCATGCGGTCCTTTGCCCTGCGAATGCCCACAACTTCTGCATGAACACATATTATTTTATGCTTTATCCCTCGAGTCCATCTTGACGTACTGTTGCACGGCACAGAAGACATATAGCGAACAATTCACGACGGAGACCCGCTGTAAGTTGTCGCTCCACTCGAGTTCAGTTCCAGTTCAACGGATGCGCGCCATGGAGCAAAACAAGACGATCAGTGCCCAAAGTTGAAGCAGCTGCCGAAGAACGGGAGCCTTCGCATCAGAGCTGGCCGTGAAGGCCTGCGTGCGACGGGCTCCTGTCGGTCCTCCTGTCCATGTGTCTCATCTCAGGATGCCGAGACAATGGTGAGCCGTTGAAAATAGGAACGGAAGCGAAAGTCCTCTGTTTTCCAGATTTGCGACCGAAGACGGGAAACAGTCGAAACGGATCTTTGACGTTGCTTCGTAAGACTACAACTCCTGCCGTACAAAACCTCGAACCTGCATGGACATTGCTCTGTGATAGTGCAACTTTTGCACTGGAAGGCCTTTCTCTTGTTTCGATTTTCCTGCTTCAGTTCTGGCAGGATTGCCCTGCCTAAGATTTCGCATTGCATCAATGCAGAAAGCCCCTCCCGGCAGATCCTAGCTTTTCGCTTCGTTGTAGGCCGAACAGCAAGTGGAAGGCCTCCCGTAGGTCTTGTTGGTAGGTACAAAAAGCGATTGAAGTGGCCTGTGAGGATTGCTGATTTGGCGCGAATCCTGCATAATATTTTTGTTGTGGTGCACGCCACAGTTCCAAATCTGCCACTAATCCCAGTGCCGAAGCACGCTGAAGCGGCTTCATGTTGAAACTGATCCCTGCGGCAGGCAGTGTCGCAGTTCTGCAAAACGTTTCTGAAAAGTGTAATCACCACGACACACGAAGTCCCTGGTATAGGAGTGCTCCGTGGCTCTGCTTCACCGCAGATCTGGTCCACTAGTCCCGATGGTGCTTCGATACAGCATGCGAAATCTGCTCCAGGTCTTGCCGTTTCAAGTTTCAACGCTGCACATGGCCGCCTTTTCCGACAACTTCGGACGCCGAACAGCGAGCCTTTCTTAGCTCACGGAGCCTGGCCTAAGCAGCTTCTCAGGACGTTACGAAACCTCAGTAGCTGCTAGCAAGTCACAGGAAATGGACATTGAGAACATGCAATCAGCACAAGCTCAAGCCTAAGAGCAGCTGTTTCGTAGATGATGCCCGGCGCAAGCATGTCGAGCGGAGAAGACGGCAAAGCCGCGGCTGCCTGGCAACTGATTTTGTTGCTAGGCTTCCCACCCCAACATGGGAAGCCTAACTATGATTCTGTATCGACCCCTGGAATAGCCTTGGCTGCGGCGGGCAACTGAAAGACCGGGGACCTGCAGGGGGGCTTGGCGGGCCCGCATTACCACTCGCTGAACCCAGCCTCTCGCGTCCACTCCGCACGGGAGCATCTGGCAGAAACTCGAGGGCTTCAGAAGTATCGGATGCCGTCTGTGCCAAAACAATGCTCGGACGTATTATGTTCCGACTGCATGTCGGCAACCTATTTGATTCAGAGCATGACGGTGTCTAGCAGTCCCCCGGCTCATCAGCTAGGACACAAACTGCGATTTGACCCGCCCTTCCTGATACTGTCAGCAAGCGATGCGGCAGCACCTTGAATGCCGTGCCCGTTTGGCACTGTAGATGCCTTGTCCAGCAAAACATACCCAAAGAACAGAGAGCATGCAGCTGTGTGATATCAAGAGCACCTCGGAGCCGGTTTCTGCCACAATGTGTGCCTCAACTTGATCCTTCAGCTGCACTGATGCTTGTTCAGTGCGACACTAGGACACGGGTGTGATCCTGATGCTGAACTTCACCAGTGGCAAGAGCTTGAACTGCTGCCGTTGATGTATCCTCGCGACAGAATCGCCAAAAGTAACTATCACCCAGCAAAGTGACATCAACACAGCTTGCATGGTTCTTCAGGGCTTCCAGCCATCTGTTGTGCTTGTTGCGCGATGTGCGACCTGCGTGCACGGAGATTTAAACTCTCGTAGATTATAGAATCATACAATAAAGCCTTGCAATCCAAGGCACTGCAGCAGTTGCTGCATGCGCACGAGTTGCCGAAAATGTTCCTGCTGGACGTCGGTCAAGTGACCCTGACTCCTCGTCAGGCGGGGGCGATGGCAGACCAGGGACACGGATCTGCTACGAGGCTCCCGCAGCTGTAGGTCTTGCAGCTGCTGCAGCTGACCCTGCACCTGTGCCAGCAAAGGCTGCACCTGGTCGGAGGCCAAGGACAAGCATGTCGCATCATGCCTGTGGAGACTTCAGAAGTGGATTTGCCGTGTCGTGTAAGCAGTCAAACATGGTCAGAGCTCGCAACGTCTCGCTCAATTATGGAAGCCGGATGAGCAACTTTGGCGGTACTGCAGGGGCTGCACCTGCTGCAAGTCCTGCATCGTCCCAAGACTTCGCAAGCGGAGTTCAAACCGCAGGAAAGTAACAGACGAACCCTTGCGCGGGTCCACTTGATTGGCCGGCGGCCGCTCCATGGAACCTGCCTTCTGTCACGAGAGCACGAGAAAATGAGAAGTGACTGCGACTAGAAGGTGACTAGAACACAGATGTGGACTGAGAAGTGTGGCGGGCTCTCGACACGCCGACTTTGAGTCATTGAGACTGGTAAGACTCGTTTAGAATGGCATCAGCCCTTGATCAACATGTCACATGGTCTCTCACACGGATTTTTCCCCTCCGGCCTGGATGTCTTGGGGCAGGGGCAGAGTCTGGGCCCGATTGCCGCCTCCGGTCGTAAAGGGTTTCGAGAAATGTGCGCTGTCGGCGTAGAGACTGCGTCACCATCCGAGCCTGTTTCTGTCTGCCGCGCTTCTGCAGCGGCCTCGGTTAAACCGCAGAAGTCGAAAGAAGGCCTAACCGAGCCTGCTTGCTAGGCCAAATAGCTGAGCCAAGATCCTGTGGCTGGATATTGAGCGCCCGCCTGGAAAGCTACGACACGGCAAGTAAAATGCACGTCCACGCATGAAGGTTGCGCTCGCCTGTACTCTTTCGGAAGAGTGAAAAATATTGAAAGATAGAGCATCCCTCGGCAGGCCGACCAAAAAAGCGGAAATTCCACCCACATCCGAACTGGCACAGAGAAGCAACCCTTTCCACACTCACTTTTGCTGTCGCTGCCCATGCCCTGACCGGTTTGCAGGTGCCCACAAACATTCCTCCATCGCGACACTGGTGAGGCAGCCCTGCTTGCGCATGCAATCTCCAATCGGTGGACGAAATGCCCTGTGGTCCTTGTACACCGAAGCGATGCCAATCCCACTCACCGACGAATGCTTTCTCGCAGCTTCATGTCAGTCAAAGCATACCAACCAAAAAGCCCACCGGATGCCTGAGTGCCGAGAAAGCCTTAAACTTCACGACTATGTGCCCTGACCGGGAGCTGGAAAACTTTGCCTAAATGCAAAGTCTTTCCAGGGCTTGGCTCACTTTCCATCATCCGGAGACAAAGACCATGCTCCGCGCTTCCAGTCGATTCGGGATGTTTCGTCTGCACCAAGATCAGAAAACATTTTCGCGAAACCCGACACCCAACCCTTGGGTGTAGCCTGCAGGGACAAATTGTTCTAGATTGGAGCGGTTTATATTTTCCAAACCGGTGCCTGGAGTTGCCATGTTTGACTTCGAAAATCCCGACATATGCCTTTCGCTGCTGTTTTGCCTTACTCAAAAGCCCAAAAAAAATTGGTTGAGCCCATTCAGATTTCGTGAAAAACAACTGCCCCAAGCATCTTTCGTGACCAGTCGTCCGAGAATCTGCCATTTTTTGAGCCATTTTTCATTTCTTTGTTCCAGTTGGTTGAGCGCACATTCACCATGGGCACCATGACTTGGAGCAGCACACAGACTACCCAGACTTTTTTCAAACTACCACTTCTGCACCCACGAAACGCTTGATATCCTTTCTTGCTCAGGCCACACCAGTCCCACCTCGGTGCGGGAATGCGATGAAGAAGGCCAGTCCTAATGTCAGCACCAATCGCACCATCACCTGGGTTCGAACTTCGCTGACAACACTTTCAAACTATCAGTATGCCCTCAGTTGACAACCGCCCCACTGTGTCGATGGAACAATCACGACCTGGCGTGCAACACATTGCACTGCATCTGCAACAAGCGCTACGCTAACGACGTGCTAGCCAAAACTCCTACTATAAGGTGCAGTAGCCCCTTTTCGGTCGTAGCGCAGACTGCGCTCGGCCGGGCGCACCGCCCGAAAACTCGGTGCGCAATTCTGCGCCCGGCCCAAGCACCGCCCGAGGGGGCGAGTGCCGGCCGATGGTCAGGCGAAATCAGTGTCAAATAATTCCGTCCTGGGTGGTGAGGGTGGGAGACGAAAAACACAGCGATTGAGCCGGGTGCTACCGGTCAATCGCTGGCGCTTGTTCCTACACGCATGACGCTGACGACGTGTCAGCCAAAACTCCTACTCAGGTGCAGTGGCCCCTTTTTGGTCGTGCACACCGCCCGAAAACTCGGTGCCGGTGCCGGGGTGCGCACTTCTGTGCCCGCCCGGCGCACCCACGCCCAGCAGGCGCCGGCTCCTACCAAATGACAAGATCAAACAGTCTCTCAGGCACTCCACGTCGGTGGCCGCCTCGCCGAGGACCTGCATAACCTCATCGACGGGGTGCACGCACCCGCGTCCAGCCCGCAGCTCGTGCCCTGCAGTCGTCACAGACACGGCGTCCGAGACGTTCAGCGCCGAGGGGACCCGGTAGAACTCGGGCGACCACTGGCCATCAG